TCCTCTGAGTGACAGTACACGTTTGAGGTTTTTTCAAGATCAAAGCAACAGCTCGCAACCAACCGTTCCGAGCTACCCAGAGTAAGAGGTGTGTTGGGAGAAGAAACATGATCTAAAAGTGGTGGTGCTGGATGTTGAGAACTTTCAGTAAAATGTGGTGCATAATGAATGAAAAATGGAGCTGATCAATTTTGAGAAATCGAAGTGGAGTATGAGATAAAGAGTTAAACGTAAGGAGAGGGACGGAGACGGACGAGCTATTAGCGACCTTAGGCCCGGTGTCAGATACAATCGGGGAACGCTGATGCCCAGGAAGCGTCAAGCTTCAACTTGAACTCGGCAATGGCAGGGAACGCTGATGCCCAGCATGCATCAAGCTTCAGCTTGAACTCGGCAATGGTTTTTGGGGGAACGCTGACGCCCAGCATGCATCAAGCTTCAGCTTGAACTCGGCAATGGTTTTTGACGCCACTACCTCCTGCGGCAGTTTGTTCCATGTATTAATACCCGGTGGGAAAAAAGGTGGCTCTCAGACGTTTGAGCGCCCGAGGCTTGTCTAACTTCATACTATGTACCCTTGTGTTGGGTACACCGCTCGGCTGAAGTAGGTAGGAGATTCCGTGAGAGAAACCCGTCGGGATACGGAAGGTTTCAATCAGGTTTATTCGAGGCATGTTTGTTTTAAATTGTCACTTTGAAAGCTTGTCGTGCAAGTCGAACGTGCGGCATCTCTTGAACGAATTCGAAAGCTGCAACCTGCATCGTGTATTTGCAGGACAGAGGATAGCTCAGGTTACCTTCCAGCACCTTATAAAGCGAAATTTATGCAATCGGAAATATACCACTCAGGTAGCATGACTAATATTATAGCAGGGAACAGGCATATAATAAACAAAAAATTATTTACTCATCAATAAATCAATATTACCAATGATAAAGTTGTTTTATATGTCCTTAATAAGTATCAATACAATTTGTAAAAGTTTGTATTCAAAAGTCAAACCACATTCGGTTCTGAACCTCGTCCAGATGTTTTCAAATAATATCTTCAACAGATCGTGTGACATTCTTCAAGCGACGTTTAATCAGACTCCAGAACGCCTAAGCCTTATTTGTGTGAACACCGGCAGCGGGATTCTCAAAGCCATGACTATGGTTATTACGCATGTGTATATCCCAGGGAACACAATGACCGATATTCGGCCCACTGGTCCGTGTATATGGTACTTCCAGGCTGAATCTAGCGTTGGATAATCGGTATTAGGGTCTCCGTAGAGCGGTTTTCCACTCTTTGGAAGTGCCCTTTACGTAAATTGCGGTCTTACATATCAAGTTGGATACTCAGGGAGCACATAATTGACGAACAACTGTCCCGGTAGTACGTGTACCACTGTATTGCACTTTTCTTGGACACGTTGGCCGTTGCAGCTGCCGGGGTTACAGGCTCCTCCATAAGGAAATAAATTATCAGCTCCATCGTAGTGTATAATGGTAGCTAAGATTTTTCGAAGAGAGTCCACGATTAAAGAGATGCTCGCCGTTTGCATGTGCAACGAAAAATAAACCCGTCACGGTTCCGGGCAAACTCTTTCATTATTCGTACACATGCACATGTTCGCTGTTTCGGTAAAAATCCACGATTCTACATAATAATCAAGCATGCTTCTCGTTGAAATTCATGTAAAATCTGATACATGTTAAACACAATGGATCCAGATATTGTTGAGGTAAACGCCAATTAAAACAAACGTTAGCAAAATTCAATTATTCACATATTAATGCATTTGAAGAACCCATTTATCTTAAAAAATATAAAAAATTTTAGGATTCATTGAAAATTTTTCAGAATCGAAAGAACTCCCGGAATGGTCATTAGGAATGGGGTGCCGGTGGGTAACTTGAGCCCAGAGGAACAAAACTGTGTGTGCGGACACATTATGTGTTTGTGGGAGTTATAGGCTTGCATCGACATAGACATTTTATGCAAAGTGCAAAAAAGGAACATCAACACTAGTAGGCATATTTCTCGAGAACTTTAAACTACCCCAGGATACACTGATGGAATTGATATTTTACTTCGCGATGGAAGACCTCGGAACCCGTGCTGCCGTAATTGTCAACGTCACTAAGAAGTGCGCCATTCGCGGCTTCACTTACTGCCGTGATGTTTCGTCTTCAGTTTGTGTTCCCCGACAACCCAACTTGGTTCACCTGGGGTTGTTGTCGAAGTTGACGAGTGTTGCCGTGAAGAGCATATATGGGTGATGGGGACAGCCGCCAACTTTCTGGATGTTTAAAATGTGCAACCGTTGACGGAAAAAGGGATATTTCCTACGAGTGGAGAACAGATCCAAGGAAACTATTCTTCCAATTATACAGCTTTTGGTCGCACCCAGGACTGCCATTCATACAAACCAGTGAGCGGCTTATCGACCGCTGACTTCGTTGGGGTACATCCACATGGGTGTCAATCACTCTGACGCCTCTATACATCCTGCGATTGGTGTTAACGCAAACAATATAGAGACTTTCTGAAGTGAAATTAAGCGGTGATTGAAGAACGCGTACGGGCCCGTCGGCGACACGATATGGGACCACTTCAATGGGATATAATGACGAATGTTCGATTTTTCTTATGAAACCTTTCCCGCGGTTATGGACACATTGCTACGCCATATTAGATAACTGTATCCCTGTTGAACGATGTGATGTACTTGCTGCTAATATTAAGTTGATGGTAAACTATCAATAAATACTTTTTTAATGATATTTATTAGAGTCCTTCGATTTTCCGAATTCACATAACTTATGACTAGTATCCATATTTAGGGAAAAAATTGTTCAGTTAGGTATGCCACCTGGATTTCAGGAAAGCTTTCTACTCAGTAAACCATCGCTTCCTGCTACACAAGTTGCAGTGTCTCAGGGTTGCTCCAGGGGTGGTAGACTGGTTGAAATCCACCTTCCCAACAGAACTCTTTGCGTGAGAGTAGACGACGGTATATCTGCCGAAGCTTGCAGTGGGGTCCCCCAAGGTTCGTGGCTTGGTCCCATGCTGTTCCTCGAATACATCAACGATATGGTCCGTGGTCTGCACTCGTCGATCTATTTTATTTCAGACGACGTTAAAATCGTAGGCCGGCCAGATATGCCACAATTGCAAGAGAATCTGAACAAAATCCAGGAGTGGATAGCTCAGTGGGAACTCCCACTGAACCTAAGTAAGTGCCAACAATTGATGTCAGTCGGTACAAATAGCGATGGGCGAAGTGCGACCACGGAAAGCCATCTACCTCTAACGAGCAGCGAGGACATTAGGGACTTGGGTATGGTCATAGACCAGACCTTCAAACCGACGCCTCACTGTCTGGCAGCTGCGACCAGAGGTAATAGGGCACTTCATCAACTCCTGAAGGCTGTAGCCTCTCGAGAGGAAAAGGTGATGGCTCCACTGTACAAGGCCCTGGCGAGGCCACATCTAGAGTACTCCGTTCAGGCCTGGGCGCCTTATTTGGTGAAAGACGTCAAGGTCCTGGAAGTGGTACAAAGAAGGTTGACGAGGGTCATAGAAGGCATGAGTGGCATTGCATACAGCTAGTCTCAGGAAGTTAAACCTGTTCACCCTTAAGAGAAGGAGAATGCGAGGGGACCTCATAGAGGCGTTCAAGCAGCTGACCGGCGCCTCGGTAACAGAATCACCGCTGCTGCCCCTATGCCACAACACCAACCCAGGGGCAACGGATGCAAATTGGAAAAG